TCTTTCCTGAGCATTCTCATCATATCTTGAATTTTCATTTTACTTTGTGTTGATTTTAAATTAAACCCTAGCTAACTTACATGCATTAGTCAACCTATTACGAAAATCTGATACATACTGAAAGCAAATTTTTAAGATATGTCATCTTCAGAAAGGAATTTCTCTTTTATAAGTTTTAAGGGTCCTCTGACAGTTGTGGACCAAATACTAATTCAAAAGGGCTTGAAGCCAAGAGATTCCTGAACAGATTCTCCTACAGCAAATAACAATAAATGGATGCCTTCATCCCAGTCTTTTTTCCGTGTCAAAAACAATATGACCTAATCATATTTTTCAGAGTCTGGTGAAATCTTTCTAATGCACCTTGACTTTCAGGATGATAGGCTGAAGAACCTATTATTGAGTAATTCCTAACTCATGCATGACCTGCTGGAAAATACCAGACATAAAATTTTTGACCCTTGATCAGAACTGTACTGATTTAGGTAAAACCAACAAAAGTGAATAATTTCACAAGAGCCTTAACAATAGTTTTTGGCTTTAATATTCCTTAAAGGAAAAGCGCGTAGAAGCACACATAATAGTTTAATCAAGTAAAACTGAGAACCTGATTTAGTTTTTGGTAATGGACCTACACAGTCAATAATAACTCTACTAAAAGGTTCATCAAATGCAGGAATAGGCTGTAAATGAGCTTTAGGTTTTGTCCTGGTTAGGTTTTTCCAACCATCTGACAAGTATGACAAGATTTACAGTACCTAGATACATCTGCTTTAAAGGCCAGGTCAAATAAAAATGATTGAGAATTTTATGGTAGGTTTTTATTAACACCTAAATGACCTGCCATGGGTTTTTCATGAGCCAAGCTTAATATTTCCTGGCGATATGATTTAGGACCACAATTTGGTGATTAACTTTGTCCACTCCTCTTCAGCAGGGACATTTGGCGGTCGCAATTTTTATCATTAAAATCCCCATTCTTTTCATAATAACAAACAGGGACTTGTAAAGCTTCATCTTCACTAAAGGCCTTTTGAAAAAGGACTGAAATTCTCAGGATCATTTTGTTGTTCCTGGATAAGCTGTGACCTTGACAGCGTGTCATGACCTTGATCTTTAGATCTTGGTGTAGAAAAGTCAGATATTTGAAAAATCTGTCTGAGTTTTCAGGCAGAGTAGGAGTGAGAGAAAAATTCATTTCCATTATCAAAAGACTGACCTATAAAAGTATCAGCTTAAGTCAATATCTGAACAATAAATTATCTTCTTGAATGGCCTTCTTAGCCATAGCTCGAGTAACTGCACATGAAGGGTAAGGTCAGGAATTTCCTGCTCAATGGGGTCAGGTATCTGATCCACACAAGGAGTGTCAGTTACAAGTGGATTAACCACTACCTTATCTCCAAGCTAAGTCATTACCTTTAGCAATAAATGAACACCTTTAAAGGGTAAGAAAGATCTTATACCTACAGCCACCGGGGCCCAGTTTTTTCCAAATCTGAGGACAAATAAATATTATGGAGAGGGACATTAGAAAAACCACACTCTACACCCTGAATAAGGACACTAGATCCAGAAGAAGTCTTCTCAGAAAAAGGCAGTGTATCTGCTAAAATAAGAGATTGAGAAGCTCCTGTGTCTCTTAAAATTGTAATAGGAGTAGGTGGGCAAGTATCACCGATAAGTGACACGGAACCGTCCGAAAGGAATGGTTCATAAATCTCCATTATAGAATCAGACTTGGGTTCTTTGACCTTCAAAAATTGCATTGTTATCAATACAAACGACTGAGGTTCAGACCTTGAAGTGGTAAGACCTGTGGGTTTGGCCTTCATCACGTTGTTGTTGCCTCCTTTTTAAGGTAAAGCAATCAGAAATAAGATGTCCAGTTTTCTTGCAATATTTTTGGGCATGTAGGAACGAGATAAGGGGGGGGACTATGACCTTTATGTTCATCCAGATGACTTTGGTTTGGGGAGTATTTGACTGACTAGATAAGCCAGATAAATTACCAGAACAGAACTTGGAATTAAAATATGAGGGTGTGGACTTCCCTTTATTTAAAAATGAGACTTTGTGGGTTAAAGAATATCATCAGCTAGACGGGCAGCTTCTTCTAAAGTTTCTACCTGTTTTTTTCATCTAAGAAAAGATTTTAACATCAGAGTGAATACAACTTTTTTAAACTCTTCAACTAACATGAGCTGTCTGAGCTTTTCATGATTTTTTATTTATTTTTTTAGATAGACACCACCGAATCAAAAAGTTGTTCTTTTTCCCTTGCAAATTCGACATGGGTTTTGAACAATTTCTTTCTTAGAATTTCTGAATTTTTGCCTGTAGGCCTCTGGTACTAACTCATAACCTTTCAGAATTAATTCTTTTACATTATCATAATTAGAGCTTTTTGTCAACCAGTAAGTTGTGTATAGATTTCACGAGCTTTAAAAAGTTATGACGCTCTGTAAAAAGTAATGTCCAGTGCTCTCTTGGCCATTTTAAATTTTTCAGCAACCTTTTCAAAATGAAGAAAAATACTTATCAACTTCTTTTTCTTGGAAAGGTGGAACAAGCCTAATATTTTTAGTGACATCAAATTTTGAATTTATTCTATGTTCAAACTGATTTTTGCTCTCTCTTTGATTTCTAATTCTCTCATTTTTAACTGAAATTCTCTCTCTTCTCTTTCTTTTTTCAAACTGCCTTTCCCTTTCTTTTTTTCCCTTTCTTTTTCTAACAGTCTTTCTTCCCTTTCTTTTTCTAAGTGTAACTGCCTTTCTTCCCTTTCTTTTTCTAAACTGTAACTGCCTTTCTTCCCTTTCTTTTCCTAACTGTAAACTGCCTTTCTTCCCTTTCTTTTTCTAACTGTAACTGCCTTTCTTCCCTTTCCTTTTCTAATTTCATTTTTTCTAGTTCAAATTTAAATTGAAGTTCAAAGCTTTTTTTATCGTTAATTTCTGGGTTGTTTCAACAATCAGAGAAAGTGCATCTTGTCCAAAAATATCTTCATCCACAAAATAATGAAATCAGAAGATTTTTAATTTCTTGTTTACGCATTGAATACTTAATTTCTGATAAATTATACTTTTTTTGCAGATCGAGCAAATCAGTTTTCTTAGCCAAAATCTAATACCTCCTGGGAAGGTTCAGCTACAAACTTTTCTAAATTAAAAGACATGACTGCTTGTTGCTGGTTTTAAACTCAGAAAGTGATGTGTTTCAAAAATTTTCAAAATGAAAGGTACACTTAATAGAACAACTATGATATCAACTCAGATGAGTAAATACGGTAATAATAAAATGTAAAATAAACAGTAATAATTTTCAATATTGTAGCCAAAAAGAAATATTCAAATCCCGGACGAGCCCCCAATTTCTGTTACGAGCCAGGCGTAACGAGAAAGAAAAGCCAGCAACAAACTTGGTAAAAATAACAAATTTATTACAGAAAAATTATTAAAGAAAAATAAAATAACAAATTATGTTAACAAATACCTGAAGTCCAAATGAAAATGAAAAATTACAAATGTCTAGTCTGATCCTGGAATGATCCTTTTTAATAGCACAGTTAATCCAAGTTAAATCCAAGAACACTTTAGAATAAATTCCCCACAATAAAATCCACGAGAATAATTTATTTTTAAAATCCAAGCTCCAATAATTCACTTAATATCCAAGTTGAATAATACTCCAAATATATATTGATTTCTTAAAAGGTAACTGATGACTTAATAGATCACTGATGAATTAAAAGGTAAAAGAAAAGAAAAATATGCCGTAAATATATATAAACTATGAACATTCCAGAATAGTCTATTATGTTTCTAGTGTAATCATAATCTAGCACTTTCAACAATAAAGAACAGTCCGGAAGTTTCTAACTAAATATAATGCATGAGTTTATCTACAACAATTAAGAAAGTTCTAGTACATACATGTAGTTTATGTTCTAAAAATAGAACAATGATAATATTGGAAATACCAACTGGTCAGATACAAACTATATACATGTAATATGTTGCATACATAACAACTGTATTTTATTGCACTGTTGAAATATAACAATGGAAGCGATAGGGCTGGGTGAATTGGCAGTTTATTACAAAAGGTATGACTTAGTCTATTTAAATTTCAATATTAAAGCATGTTAATGATAAAACAAAATGGTGATCTAATTTCAAAATCATGGTATTTGGTCATCATCATTTAACTGATGCTTATTAATTAACGACCAACTAATGTCTTATGACTAGTATTAATGTTTTTTTCTTTCTAATAATTGTTGCACTGTTTGATTTGACAAATTATGCTCTATATATGATGATGTACTATGGACTATAGAGTAATAAAGGTTCTGCTATGTTCTGCCCCGCATCATTGTTGTACTTTGTACGTTTTTCACACGTATAGAGATTTCGTATAAGTGGCATTTGCGTCGTGACAATTGCTAGATGAATAGAAATAGGTCGGTAAAATTTGACATGTTTATAGATTGCCCAGAGTAACTGCTCAAAACATATATGGTCTGTTGACAATTATACCAGAGGGTATCTAAAATATTCATATAAAATCATGTTGTGAAACTGGTAATTAAATTCATATTGTCATTATTATTGCATGATTAAAGTGATTACAGCTATTGAAGGTTTTTTTAAAGTTTATCCATTCAGACAAGCCCGGTATTGGAAATTTGCAATTATGGTGCGTTTTACTAGCTCACCTGATATGAGCACAAAGTGTCCAGAGCTAAGCTTTTGTGTTGGTAATGTGTCCGTCGTTCGTCGTTGTCCACAATATTTTTTAACAACATCACCTCCTTAACTACTGGTAGATTTTGACCAAACTTTGAAAGGCCACGCACTGGGGATCACTTAATTTATAGTTATGTAATCTGGATAAAAATGATATCTCATTACTGGATTTATTTAACCTTTCCTAGCGGTGTATCTCAGGTGAGGTATCAAGGGCCATTATGACCCTCTTGTCAATTTTTATCAACTGAACGACTGCAGACATGCGCATTGATTTGTTGGTAATTTTGCTGGTTAGTTGATAGTTTGCGCCAGGGCAACATGAAGAAATATTGCTTTAATATCGGTTTACTTCTTTTTCATGGCCTTGTTTTACCTATAGACAGTCGTAACATAATGTTTACAAAGTTTACAATGCATACCGATTTGGAAGGGTTTACTTGTCCGGCAATGAATAAAGATTTTGAAGAAGAGAAGTTGAATGTAATGCAGTGTTTGCTAGTTTGTGCTGATAGCTCGTCGTGTTTTGGCGTATTCCACGACGAAGCTGATATGCACTGTGTAGGGTGCAATGACACATTTCTTACCAATTCATCGGCTCCATCTCGGGACGGAATGCAGTACTTTAAACGTCAAGGTAAGTAAGTTTTAGATATATTTTAGTTACTTAGTGTAAGGCAAAATTGCAAGGCAGAATAAGTTTGATAATCCTAGATCATGTAGTTGTTTTTATATAAATTGTATTAATGGCGACATCTATACGTGACAAAATAGAAATTGTTCATTGTTAGGTGGTTCTAGCTATCCTCTTCTTGAATATTGTTTAACCAACCTCCCAAGCTTTAAGCATGTTTTAATTATATAGTTTTGGACGACCTTTTAGGTTTCCTTTTTCATCTATATCGATGCATTTTAAAATGGTTTTCGTCATGTTTTAAAATGAATATTTGATACAGGAAAAATTTCAAGACAGACAATATCATCTCTTTCGGTCATACAAAGTAGACAGGAGAAGATAAAATGTTCCGAGTAAAAATGTTCCGAGTAAAAATGTTCCGAGTAAATCATTCTCAGAATGGATAATAATGATACATGCACTACATAGATAAGCAGAGTTTACTGGGGCGTTATAATACTTTTATAAAACGTTTATTTCAATACTCAAATAAAATGTTTATGTTACTAAGATTGTCATTTTTATATTTCCAAAAAAAAAACAACAACAAAAAACGAGATTCCCTAAGTGGTCTTAAATTCAATCTACTTTTCATTACTGGCTAAGGAAAAAAAGAAGATCAATTCATATCTATCGTACCAGACTATTAAACATAAGTATATATTTTTCATATTTTAAATATATCATTCTAATTAGCATATATGGAACGGTTTAAAACCCTTCTTCAATCAACCATTCGTAAACTGTAACTTCTGTTGTGAGCATATTCGATTTAACCAGATACATAATTATGTTAGGGGGCAGGGGACCTAAAAATGAACAATTTTGTATTTCAGTGTGACCAGAAACACAATTCCAAATATTTCAAAATCTGTTTCACATGCAGATAACCAGTTGCACAGCATTATTCAATGATATATGACATACATTGAAGAAAATAATAGTTTGCATGCATTGCTCCTTCAAAAAATGCCTGACAGCAATTTATATTTACCCCCACCCAGCCAAAATCACACCAAAAATATACCAATATGGGCAATCTTCATGAAGGTGCAGCATACTCCAGAATCCGCCCGATTCCTTTGAAAATATCAGTAACATGCAGTGCAAGCTATGGCATTTTCAGAAATGACCAATAAAGTGTCTGTCATACGTTTAGATTTTTCACAAAATTTATCTGAAATTTCTAACTTGTTTGGCGCCAACTGTCAAAGCTTGATTTTTAACTTTTTCACCTCCATTCGGAGAGTCAGAAATACATATAAAGCTACCAAAATGCTTAGTTTCGGGTAAAAACCCAAAAATACTTCTCATTTCCTACACACAAACAAGAAAGAATTACAATGACAGAGAAATATCAGAAGTTATCAGTACATTCAAAACACCATGTCTGAGTTATTAAAAAATTTGACCGGGGCCATCATTCGAATATGTCCCCTGCCCCCTTATCTATGTCTCTGTTTTAAAAATATCTTCTTTAATCAACCAATCGTAGACTGCGCATTTCGTTCATCAACCGTGCGTAAACTGTTACTTCCGTTCTGTGCATTTTCCTTCAAAACATATGATCTTCAATTCTGTTCGTTTCAAATCAACCATCTATTAACAGTTATTTCCGTTGTGCGCCTTCCGTTAAAAACAAACATGTAGTTTATTTTACACAAATGCACAGAATTTGTGCAATAATAACTTACTTTGTCTTATATTATTGTTTTGATCTGCTAAATATATTTATACATATGTTACCGTAGAATATCTTTCAAAAGATGAAATAAAAAAGAGCGAAATAATAGCAATTCATATTCGCTATTTGCATGTCAATATAATGAAGGTGGTTTTGGTATTCGAGATGTATATGTTTCATTTCAGCGTACATGCTTGTAACTGAAGAGAAATCATGGCCAAATGCAAGAGTAAGCATCGCTTTTTTAACTTTAAATTCTTAAACGATTACTTAATCATGATCCTTTGTAGGACTATTTCATGGCTGGCTATATAATTTAGAATTAATGTATAGATTTTTCAGTTTCAATCCGTTTTACAAAAATATAGTTGCCATTGCCTAGATTTTTTGAAATATTGTTTTAATATAATCTTTGTTTGTATGGCGCAAACACGTGTTTTACCTTAGATTTGAGAACTCACAACCAGAGTTTTGTCTTGATGACCCAAATGAAGGTGATTATATGATGTGGTTGGGGTTCCGTTTCCGTGGTCGAGCTGTTAGGGTCTCTATCTTCAAATAGCTTGTGAGAAAGCAATGCAGAAATAATGCACTGAGAGACACCTAAGGTTTTCCTTGAAAACTGCAACACAAGACATTTTAGTGTCTGGGCGGCTTGAAGCAACGTTACGACCCCCGCCCTTTCAGAAAAACCAACAACAACAAAACATCAACAACAACAAAAATAACGTATACAGTTTACCGATTTGTAACCCTTAACCTGAATGGAGCTGTCCCTCTTTTTAATTGGGACTACTCCCCCCTTAGAGTTCAATGTCGGAATTTAAAAAGGAGTAACTACCTTTCTAGTATAGAGCCAGGTCAGTATGTACGCATGCGAAGGATAGCACAGCTTGATTCTGGTGGTAAAGGTTTATCACCAAGTCGTCAAACAGGCTTAAGACTAATTTCAATACATAAACAGAACAAGGCATTCTTTAATTGCTAATATATATTAAATGTATACACATATTTCAGTTAGTTTTGTGGTTGTTGTAGTTTTTCCTGATCGCCTTGCAATACATGTAATAATAATAACGGCCTCGTGTTTATAAGTTTGCAGCTAAGGTTAAACGTTTAATTTTCATGGCAAATATTTGTTTCATTCGAAGAACGTATCTTTTAACATTCTAAGAACTACGGGTGCTGATAAACATTTACACGTTTTAACTCAAATATGCCAAGCAATGAATGTCACGAACTACTTCATCAAATTCATTTAGAGGTCTTATCTGTTTAATATGTTTTAATACCCCCCCCCCCCTCTTTAACAAATCAGATATTCAGTATTGGCAATGCTATTAGCATATCGACATGATCAATGTATAAAATATTAATATAACACTGACAGTAATTAATTAAAATTTCATACCAGTAATGATTTTTATGACATTGTTTTCCAGTTACACTGTCAGACATTAGGGGGACATTTAGCAGACATTACTTCAGAAGAAGAAGAAATATATATTGAGGACCAAATACTCGGCAGTGGTGAATTCTTTTAATATCATATCATATTTGAGTCGCGTCACGACAAAACCAACGTAATGCGTTTGCGACCAGCATGGATCCAGACCAGCCTGCGCATCCGCGCAGTCTGATCAGGATCCATGCTGTTCGCTTACAAACACTATTACAAGTAGAGAAACTGATAGCGAACAGCATGGATCTTGATAACAAGATCTGAACTTAAAGTAATCTCTAAATGCCGTCGCATATATATAGTAGTGTTGGCTCGACTTAAAGACCAAAACAAAGAATTATATTTACTGTTCTAAATAGTTATAAGTCTAAATCATTTTTTAATGTATCGCGTTCAGTCTTGTTCTAGAGTATCGCGTCCACATTTGTCTTAAAATATCGTGTTTATTTTCATTCTTATGTATCGTGCCCATCCTTTTCTCATCGCATTTATAAATATATGTTCTAATTTATCGTGTATATTCCCATCCCAGTCATTTTCTATTGCATCGCGTTTATATCTGTTCTAATTTATCGTGTATATTCCCATCCCAGTCATTTTTATTGCATCGCGTTTATATCTGTTCTAATTTATCGTGTATATTCCCATCCCAGTCATTTTTATTGCATCGCGTTTATATCTGTTCTAATTTATCGTGTATATTCCCATCCCAGTCATTTTTATTGCATCGCGTTTATATCTGTTCTAATTTATCGTGTATATTCCCAATCCAGTCATTTTCTATTGTATCGCGTTTATATCTGTTCTAATTTATCGTGTATATTCCCATTCTGGTGTATTTTCTTTTATTGCCCGTCACTTTTTTGTAATGGTAACTTCCCATACCTTTTTCAGGTAACAAACATCTAACATGCTCTATTAAGTATTTTTTATACATTATAAAATTCATTGTTGCTCTTTGTAAAGATATAAAACTTTATTTGTTTTGGAGGCAATATGTGCCATTCATAAAAACTCTTTTACTAGTTTTTAACAAAGATTTTTAAAATGTTCCAGTTATATTATTTCAGACTATACTAGTGACACTTGGATAGGAGCATCGCGCAAAACACTTGGAGGAATATATTATTGGGAAGACGGGACACTCCTCACTGACCATTACGTAAAATGGGGACAGGATCAACCATGGGACAACCGGGACGAGAAGTGTGCAGCGTTGTCTTGGATGCGTGAAATGACGTGGACTTGGCATGATTATTATTGTCAATATTTATTTCGCAGCTTATGTGAATTTGAGTAGTGTAAGAAAGTCTCAAGTTTACTTATGTACGTTTACTAAAAAGTGTTCTCGAAAATTGACGCTTAGACCACACTGAATTTGTTTTTTATTCCTTCTTCATTATCATATTCTAGTGCTTGTGGGTTTGCTACATTCACCGTATGTATTATTTATAGTGACACGGTTGGACAGGAAGAAATAAATCCGTATTTAATATTGTGATCTATATAAAGCAATTACTTTATGTTTGAAAAATTATAGCCTCATATTTTATTTTCCTTCTTGCTAAAACACACTACATCTGTACATATGCATGTAGGATGATTTGCATGTGTTTAAGGTAACTACAACTAAAACTTAAAGCCAAAAAAAGGAGCATTCTTACATGACTCAGCTGGGGCAATTTAACATAAAGATATCCCAACGAAAATTAAGAAATGTACTCAGAAATATACCTGAAATCGTATTTTGTGCTATTATTCTGTCGGTTTGATTGAAAAGCGTTTAAGTGAAAAAATCCAGTTAGAATAATTTTTATGGAAAAACAAAATGAGCGAATGATTTGAAATTTGCACACAAGTTAAGGGTCTAGACCTATATCAAATGGAACATTAATTTCGAAATAAATATTTCCAGTCACGTAATGTCAAACATCCTCAGTGGAGTCACTTTGATGTTGTTACGTTATCAATTCAATGTAATATTCACGAGCTGTTCTCACTTTGAGAATTATAAATATTTTACTTGTTTGAATTAACAATGCATCGTCGCCAGGTAATAATCAGTTATTGGAATGCTATTAAATCGATTTGCTTTCAAAGCCCTGAATGCCTCTGAATGCCACACAATAAGTGAAATTTTACAAAATACATCAGTTCCTGAACTGTTTTGCCATGCTGATTCTTCAGAAGAAATAAATAAACGAAATAAATTCTATATACTATAGATTTCGATCATGTTGCACTTGCAGCAAAAGCTTATATTGTATAGACTGACCCAGACTATGCAATAACAGCCTTCCGCTTTGTTTAAATTGTCAACGAAGGTGCTCCCTAGTTCAATATCTAAACGTAATGGGTTTGCGACCAGCATGGATCCAGACCAGCCTGCGCGTCCGCACAGTCTGATCAGGATCCATGCTGTAAAATATAAAATCTCGTTAGAACGTAAGGTGTAATTACTATAATAATTTTTTCTCTGACTTTGGAGGCATAAATGTTTTAAAAAGTGCTATTAGTATTTCAAATGAGAGCTGAAACAGAGCTCGCGTGTAGTTATTGTGCTTTGCATCTATGTGCGGTAAAGTGACATTATACCCATCCTAGTGTAAATGGTGAGTCAAAATAACTTGCCATTATAATTTTTGTTCAATGTTATATTCTACTTTACAAAAATAAATCCGCATTGCCGACGGAAATTTCTATAAATATTGTTCAAAATGTATCGGTAACGTTTAATGTCTAAAAAAAGGTGAGGCAGTCACTTTAGAAGTTTGGTAGTTTTTAGATTTAATCTAATACATTCCTCATTATCAATTATTAGTTATTCAACATTTTAGCAAACATAATCATAATTTCTAACTCAACTCGACAGCGAAAATACGTGCACTTTAAACTCCTGATGATAACTTCATTTAGTAACTGCTCTTAAAATTACAAATCCCTGAACCACTTGCACTATGCTCCGAACGATCAAAAATAACATTAACTACTTTAAAAATAACATAACTATCTCATGAATGAGTTGCCCATATGTGTTTCCGGTGCCTTCTATAGATCTATCGTTAATAAAGCCAGATAAAGAATTTTAAATAGCGTGATTTCCTAATCGCTAAAATAAGCATAGAGCGTAAAGAAAGTCTTCGTTTAAAAAAAGTAAAAGTACTTTAAAAGACAATAGAAAAGATTGGGAGAGGCTGTAGAAGTTTCCCGCTATCCATTTTAAATGTTTTATCAACTATAAGAATTGCACGTATATGATTAAATGAAAATTTTTTTATTCCACCTACGAATTATTGGCACGTATATGATTTAAATCGTTATTTTGATTGTTATTTTATTATGTTCGTTGCAAAAATATGCCTTAGAATATAGAAGTGTTGCACTTCTTTGAATAGGAATAGAAAATAATTGATTTTGTTTATTAGTTGGAAATGCCAATAATCTGTAGGCGGAATAAAAATAATAATATAAAATTGATTCGGTTAATTCCTGTCATCTTCATATAAAAAGGACTGAAAGTACGAACTGAGTATACAAGTTACAATTGTCCATTATCATTTTTTTTTATTATGTGGATACACATTTCCGGGAAAAAGTTGTGTTTAATAACTTATTTCCGGGAAACTTTCCCTGATTTTTAATTTTTATGATATTCAAACAAATAGATGCATTTTAAACAGTATGATTTTTGTTAGGAAATGTTGATTGTTACTGTATAATATTGACGATTCCAATACGTACGTGAGAATGGGTGGGGGTACGACAATACTGCTAAGGCATCACGCAATCAAAAACGGCTTTGGTTAGTTAGTCACAACAATTCAACCAATCGTCTCTGGTACTTGAGGTGACTTGACCTTGACCTGCCGCGTGCCTTCTCTGCAACGTGCGCACGTTCCATAACCATTACATAATTGTTGGCCCTGTTACTAAATAGTAAAAATAATCCATTTTACATATGCTTATTTTGAAGCCCCTTTTATGAATGATTCTACCGGAAGAGGTTGGAGACAATTCAAGTATTTGTCTCATTTCCAATACTATAAATAATATACTTTAAAATTGAGTAGATTATTCCTCAGGGAATGTGTGAAACTTTACAACAAATATAGGCTTGATTGAATTGAGTCATGTGATTGGCGTGTGAACAGCCCTCATGATCAATAATTGTTATACTAGCTCTTTATCTAAAATTCTTGAAAAAATACAAAAAGGAAAATTAAAAACTGTGGGAATCTCCCTTAAATAGATAAAATATCATGACAAGAAATCATTATCTTAATTTGGGAAATACTATTAATAAAAGTAAAATGCGTAATTGTTTTACCTATATGACATACCAAATAGCAATAATAATAAAAAGCACCGGACCATTTTGTCTTGAAGTCACAAGTATATAAATAAGTAAGGATATTATTGAAGGCAGTTAATTTAGAAGTAAACTAGAGCTGGAGTGGAACAAAGTTTGCGAGGAGTCGCTATCAGTTAAAGATCACAAGACTGTCGCTATCTTCCATAGATACATAGTTCTATTTTGTTCTTCATCAGGTAAATAAATATATTGCTAGTATATTTTAAGAATATTTAGCTTTATCAGCATATAAAACCATCATCATAGTTTTGTAAATGTTTATTAACACAATATTTTTGGAATTCTTATTTACTATGATGATCAATCTAGTACACTGCTCACCATGTGTTACAAATCTTCTCTCAATTGTATTTTTCAACTTAATGTTGTTTTTTTTAATTTTACAAAGGATGGTTATTTTGCAGGATTGAATTATTATAATTATTAATATTCGGTTTGATTTTCTTTCACTCGATTAAAATTATAAAGTAAAAGGGCACTTGAGGTCATCCTCTACCAGTTAAGCTGGAAAGTCTCCATTTGGCCTATTACTGTGTTGGTTGGTGCGACGTTAAACCCGATTATATAACTGTAATCAGAACATTTCACATTCATAACTTAGTCTTTAAGAATCTAATAACTTTAATAGCAACTTTATTATTTTCAGGTTTAGGGAAAAATAAACAGCGTTATTGTTGTTTTCAGGAAAATGTCGTCTTCAGCGGTGATAACTATAACGTGCCTCATTATCATAGCATGTGCTTTGATGACCGTAGACTGCCATAAACAAAAGAGACGATGCCTGATGCACAAAAAATCACGGACATGTCGCGAAATTTTCCAAAAAATGGGCGTTGCTAATGCTCCGGGACCGGAAGTTGGGCTATGTACCCAGGAAGATGGTAAATGTGAGATTAAACAAAGGAGAGGAAAGCGAATCTGTTTTTGCAACACACCTTATGATGTGTAAAAGAACTTGGGACTTACTTAAAGAATGGTTGGATTTTATAAGTTTCGTCGGCAAGAAATAAGACCTTTGTTGTCATAATGATATATGAATTCGATTTTGTTCCTTGATAAGAAAAAGCAAAAAAGTTAAAGTGTTAGAGCATGTAAGATGTTTATTACATGAAGAAAGAAGTACTGAATATTAAACATTTTTCATAACAGTAGCGCAATGTAAGGATTTATATTACATACAATTAAGGCCCATGATGTAAACAAGGTACTAGTAGTATTTTAGCTGCCATACAAAATACTAAATGTCTATAAGTGTACTTATTCGTATGATACAAAGCAAACCACATGAATGATTTGTCCAGAGTTATTATGTTTACAGTAAGACATTATTTGTTTGATAGTATTCTAAGCAAACGTTTTCTTGTTGCTAAAATACTTTGTAACTTAATGATATATATTTTATAAAGTTTTAACACTGACCATTTGACTATACTATTTGCTTAAATGTTATACGTACTGTGTACGCATGGGAATACTGCTCGAATGTAGAGTGAAATAAACTCTTAAAACTCTTTGTTTGTTTTGAAAAGCTACGAGGAATTTAAAAGTTTTGTTTTTTAATACATGTATTTGTGTGTTATTTATTTTTTTCTGATTTGAAAGAATAAAATAGATAAAAACTATCACAACTGTTTGTTTATTTGTTTATTTCATGCCACTTATTTTCAATCCTTTATCAACACAGGCATGACCTTAATTTCAATGATGGAAAACACTAGTGACCAATGTTAAGTATCTTTATAGAAGATTGTACTTCAAGTTGGAAAAACAGTGATCAAACTAGCAGCTCATGTTCTGAAATCATACTGTTTTACCACTAGGCCTCTAATAATTAACCCACAGTCTTCTGGTGACAAATGTGCAGACTAACGTCATTTGGATCACTGTCTAGTCAACGTCTACATTGTTCGCTATCAGTTAGTACTTTTTAAAATTTCTCTTACTGGTATAAAAAAAATGAGATTGAAATATAGACAAGTCAAGATGTCAATTAAAGCTGATAAATTCGTAAGTGTTAATAATTAGATGGCATTTATTACATCTGTAAATTTAGAGATGTTTTAAATATATAGTTGTTGAAATACAAGTGGTAACACTTGACATAAAATGTGTATCACTAATTGGTCGCACTTGTTAACTTAAAAAGACGAGCAGCAACTTGTTCTTTACTAATTAAGTACTA